CCTTGTGATTGCAGGATTGGGTTCTGGCTCTTTGGCTCCGCCTCTCCCCTGTCATTCGCCTGACGAGCGGATTCTGTGCTTCATGGGCGCTCTCGTCTCTGCTCTTGGGGCTGTGTATGGGGTCAGCCCAAGTTGGGCTGCCTAATGTGTTCCTTTGTTGCCTGTTACACTGCACACGTTTCTTCTCCCGTCCCTGTGGCTCGGTTGGGTACTCGGTTTCCGCTTGTGTCCCTTTGTGTGCCACTCGTGTTACGATTTATCTTTATCTTCCCTGTCGCTTCCTCGGGGAGTGTGGTGACGTTTTGCTGCGGTTTTGGTACTGCAGCTGCGTGTAGGGGTTGGTTGTAGCATTTTGTTCAGCCCTTCCGTGCTCCCTCTGGGGCCCTCCTTCCTTGCCAGTCTTGCTGTGCCGGGTCTGGTTTTTCCATGTTCCTTGGATTCTTTGTCCTGTCCTCGTTGTCCTCACCTCGTTGTGCTGGCTGGGGATGAGCTTGGGGTGTTTGTCTCGCCCCTCGCCTATCCTCCGGTTTCGGTTCAAATTCCAGAGCCCAGTGGGCTCCCTTCCTTAGTGTTTTTCACGGCTGCCCCGGGATTTTTCTTGACGCTAGGGCTTTGGGGGGACAGCTCGGCCCTGGGGCCTGCAGGGTGGGTTCCCGGGGCTGGGGTGGGGCTAACGTGAGGGGCCTCAGGCCCCGTTGGTTCCCGCCGGGGTTTTTCTACCCTTCTGGGCGGGGCTTGAAGTTTTGTGGAGTGGGGTTTTTCTGTTCCCCCTCTCCACACGTGCTTTTTGGGCGTCGGCCCCTTGCTGAGCTCGGTTCCTTGTCCATTATGTCCGTTGCTTCCGTCCTGTCGGTGGGTGCGCTTCTACGGTCTTCGCCCCTTTTTTCTGGGACGGGCCTTCTTCGTCATGTCCCCCTCTTCTTGGGGTTCTGCATGACTTTTGCTCTCGGGTGCGAAGGGGTTTTTGTGCCTTCGTCCTTTGTGTTTGCTTCTTTTTGTTCTTGAAGGTTCGAAACGGTTTTGCTCCTTCCCGTTTTATGGTACGTCTGTCGTCGTTCGGTTGAGCTTCCCTCCGGTCCTTTCTAGGGCTTGTGGGTCCTATTCCAGGCAGCTTCTGGGTTTTTGGCCGTCTTGTTCTTTTGTTCATATATCATCTCTTAGCACTGTCTCGGCGCTGCTCGTTTTCATGGGGGTGATTTTGCTCCTCTTCATGAGTGTCTTTTCGCTCCTGCCCTTCTGCAGGATATTTGTGCGGGACGCCTCCTTATGCGGGTTCCTTCCCTGTCAGCTGCATTTGTGGTGGTGGACTTGCCTGCTTGTGGCATTTTGGTTTTGGTCCTGCGTTTCTTTTGCCTCCTGGAACGGTCATAGGATTGGCTTGCGGAGGATGTAGAGGCGCTTGGGGCCGTTCCTGGGTCTGGCACCATGATTTCTACTGCTAGCTTTCTGTGTCGATGTTCCTTCTGATCCGTTTCGCAGGCTGTCTCGTGTGCTGTTTCCCCTCCAGCCTGCTCATGCACTGCCTGTGCCGTCCTGGTCTTTGGACAGGGTGCTCTCCTGTTTTTCTTCTCCTTGGTTGTTGTGGCTCCTTCGGTTCAGGTTTGCTTTGCTTCGGCTCTTTTTATGTTGGCATTGGCCTCTGGGGGGTCGTGTAGCAGAGCTTCATGCTCTTCTCAGGCGCAGTGGTTTTTGACTCCTATGGTCGTGGTCATAGGTTTCTTCGTCTGCAGCCGTTCTCTCTTTTTCTGGTGTATGATGTGCCTGCTGCTTCCGGAGGGGTTCTTGGGTTGTTGTCTCGACTTCGTGTTGAGGAGTGGTGCACAGACCACCTCCCAGGTATGTCCCCTTGTTTTCTTAGGTAGTCTTTGGTGGAGTAGCTCCGGGGAGCCGTAGGGGCTCCCCCCAGAAAACCAGCTTTGAATGTAATGAAATGCCATTTTCTGGGTGAGTCCCGGAGGCTCCCCGGCACCCTCCCGCCCTCCGGTCGGCGGTTTTTTCGCGGTTTTTGATATCCAGCCTCAGAACTGGGGTGGGGATCGCCGGCGCAGGGATCTGGGCCTCGCCCTTCCCCCTCCCGGGGAGGGAGGAGCTGCGCAGACATGCGGCTCGTGTGACGTTATGCTTGTTAGTTCGTTTTTCTGGGGAAGTTCTGTCCACTCGTTTGTCTATTTTGGTTGTTAACCAGCATACGGGTTTGTTTTGTGACGCTTACCTTTCTGGGTGCCTGTCCCGGTCAATGGCAGATATAGAATGCTCCAAATCACATGTGCAATTCTATGGGCCATTGCTCCCCGTGCCTCTCTGAGGGGGCCAGGTTCTGTCTCGTGGTCCCCGGTAGGCCTAGAACTCCACCCACATCGACTGATGCAAAATAGTTATGGTATCAATATCAGCCATAGATAGCTCCAGGGAACCTCTGGGACTCACCCAGAAAATGGCGTTTCATTACATTCAACGCTGGTTTTTTCACCTAACAATAATAATAATAATAATAATAAAAATAATAATAATAATAATATGTAATAATATGTAATAATAATAATAATAATAATAATAATAATAATAATAATAATATGTAATAATAATAATAATAATAATAATAATAATAATAATAATAATAATAATTGATTTGCAAGAATGTACAATAGGTTGGTGAGATTACATAAGCTTGGTATTTTTACATTCATGCAAAGCCACTAACACACATAGCGTTTCGGGCAGGTCCTATATCTAACGTATCAGGAAAGATGAAAGGGTACATTGTACCAAGGTTTTTATATCGACAGATAAATAAAGCATAAGTTGACAGAGGTGATTACACTTATAAGGATACATGTCTTAAGTACTAATAATGAGGAAGTGGGCAGTACAAGATACAGTGTGAATTTGAAGCACAAGGTAAGAAAATGAGGATGAAATTAGGTACTTTTTAATTTTACTTTTGAACAGGGCATGGGTTGGACAATTTTTTTATTCATCAGGGAGTGAGTTTCAAAGACTGGGCTCTTTTATTTGCACAGATTTAGTCTGACTCTGGGAATATCATAGATATATTTATTTATGCTGTGATGCTCATGGGTTCTATTATGTCTAACAAGGAAAAGTTTCAGATAAAGATCATCATTTAGGAACAAGTTTTGTACATGTAGATAGCACAAGAGAATGTGTGGAGCGAATGTATATTTATCATGTTTAGGGACTTGAATATAGAGGGGCTATGTGTTGTCTGAAGACAGAGTTTGTTATAGTTATGATAGTAGATTTTTGCTGAGTGATGATAGGCTTGAGGTAATTTGCAGTGGTTGAACCCCATGCACAGATAATGTATGTAAGATAGGGCTAGATTAGTGCATTGTATAATGGGAGGAGAGCAGATTGGGGGAACATAATATCTAATTTTACAAAGTGTGCTGAAATTGTCTCGTTTCTATGTATAGGCCAAGGAACTTCCCCTCATTTTTATTCGTAATGTTAACATTGTCTATTTTAAGCTAAATCTCATTTGATGAGTTATTACCAATTAAAATGTAGGTCGTTTCTATGCTTAGTGTAAATTTGTTGGTTGACATCCACGAGTGGACTTTTTTTAATTCACTGTTGACAATATTCAACAGTGTGTAGGGGTTGGAGTCAGAATGGACGATAGTCAGCAGCACCTCCAGCCTGGTCTGAGCCTTCCTGGTTTTTGGACCGGGTTCTTTCTTCTCCTTGTTTTGTGGTGGCCCCTTCGGTTGGTGATTGTTTTCGGAAGGCCTTAATTTTGTTGGTCTTGGCCTCTGGGGCTCTGATTGGGGGGTTCTTCATGCTCTCATCTGGTGCCGGAGATTCTGTTCCCTTGGTCCGGGTGGTCATTTTGTTCGGTTGCAGCTTTCTCCTTCTATTCTGGCGAAGAATAAGACGGCAGGTTTCCGAAGGGGTCGGATGGTGGGAGATGCTTGATTGGTTAGGCCCGGGGGTACATCACGTTTTGTGTCCGGTGGCGGTTGTGCGCCACTATCTGTGGGCCACTGGTTTTGTGACGGTGGACACTCTTTGGATGGATCTGGTTCCCTGGTTCTCTGTTACTAGGCTCGTGTGACTCAGGCTGTTCGCAGTGTCATCAAGTCCAGCCAGCTTGCGGTGTATCCTTGTGCCCATGACATACGGAAGTACACGGCGCTTGCCATGGTTTTTGGGAACATGTCTTGGGTGGACATTCGGGGGTTTTGGAGGTCGACCAGGATCCTGGCGACCAGATGTCTATTGAATGTTCTGGGCCCTGTTCTGAGCCTTGTGTGGCTTTGGGGCGTCTGTCGCAGTTGTCGTTTCTTCTTCGACTTGAGCCCTGCCGTGCTGCCGCCTCCCGGGTAAGTCCAAGTTTTTTCTTCTCTGTGGGTAGTAAGCTTCAGGGAGCCGACGGTGCTCCCTCCTGAAAATCAGCATTATATGTAATGAAAGCAAAGCCCCAGAAGCTCCCTGACACCCTCCCTTCCTCCATCCGGGTGGTAGTTTTTTTTTTATATCATACCTAGATCCAAGGTGGTGGGGGGCCAGCTCCCCCTCCCCCTATTTAGAGAGGGGTGGATACGCTAACGCACGGAAGCACAAGTTGAGTGCAGGGTTGCTAGCTTCTTTTCTTTCAGCATTAATTTCTTTGTTTTTTTCTGGGGGTAGGTTGCAAATTTACCAGCCAGTTGTTTGTTTTGGTTCGCCTATCTTTTTAGGCGCCCATCCTGGTCGATGGCGGAATATGGCATACTTTAAATGTATAGTGCTCATACGCCGTTGCTTCCTGCGCCTCTCTGGGGGACCAGGTTCTGTCTCGTGGTTCCCGGTAGGCATGAGAACGCCTGTGACTGATGACCCCAAACTAATATAGTACAGATCAATTCGGATAGCTTCAGGGAGCCTCTGGGGCTTTACCCAGAAAATGGTGTTTCATTACATTCAACGCTGGTTTTTTACTCATAGCTGATTATATTTCTCTTGTAATAACAGGAACTTTGGTATTTACCCAACAGAGTGTTCCGGACAACTTCAACAAGAGCTCTGATGTAGGAAAGCTCCCAGAAAACAAGCCTAAAAATCGCTTCAGGAATAACCTCCCGTGTTAGTACTATTATACAAATATTTGATTCGTTACAAATATGAGCTTGAGCTCAGTATTTAAAAATTCTGCATGTTACATTACAGGCTTTTGAATATTTGAGTGAACTTTGTGGTGAGTGAGTTGCAGTGACCTCTTCTCCAGTGCCTTCCTAGCACCAGTATGGCCCATCAGGGATCTCTGGTGTGCCAGAGTTTAATGTCACTTTACCCTGATTGTCATGGTTTTGTAAAACGGGATATTTATGGATCAAGATGATCAAAGGGTTTTCCTTAAAAGAAGTTTCTCATATTTACTCAAGTGTTTTTTAATTATTGATGTGACATTTGCATATTTGCCTGGAATATATATATATATATATATATATATATATATATATATATATATATATATATATATATATATATATATATATATATATATATATATATATATATATATATATATATATATAATGTCTACAGGAAAGACTGCTACCAAAATATACTAATATATATATATATATATATATATATATATATATATATATATATATATATATATATATATATATATATACATACATACATACAAGAAGGTACATTTGGTTTATGAGAATACATAGCATTGATGTTTTTACATTCTTGTAAAGCCAAGAACATCAATCACGTAAAAACATCAATGCACATAACGTTTCGGGTAGGTCCTCAGTTTAACAGATAATTTTATGTAGGTAATTTGTAGCAAAAAATTGAAATGTTAATAGATACATTGTAAGAAAATTTGAAGAAAATTAGTAGATACTTTATAGTAAAATTGTAGGATTATCAACAGGTACGTTGTAGCATAATTTGAGGATTATTTCTAGGCACATTGTAGTAAAATTTGTGTTCAACATAAGAACCAAGATATGAAAAAATAAGTGATTAGAACGGTGAAGTTGTGTGGCTTAGGTACATATATTGGAGGAGTGGGTAGCACAAGATACAGTGCGAGTTTGAAGCACTAGGTACGAAACTATGAGGATGAAATTATGTACTTCTTGGTTTTACTTTTAAATAAGGCATAGATTGGACAGCCTTTTAATTCCATAGGTAGTGAGTTCCATAGACTAGGTCCCTTTATTCGCATACTGTTTACACAGATTTAATTTGACTCTGGGGATATCAGAGATATTTATTTCTGGTGTGGTTATTATGGATTCTATTACATCTGTCAAGGAAGTTTCAGATCAGAATTTACAGCTATGAACAGGGTTTTGTACATGTAAATAGCACAGGAGAATGAGTTTATATTTAGGATGTTTAGGGATTTGAACATGGGGGCTGCGTGTTGTATGAACACAGAGTTTGTTATTGTACTGACAGCAAATTTTTGCTGGGTGTTGATGGGCTTGAGGTAGTTTGCAGTGGTTGAACCTCATGCACAGACACCGTATGTAGGACAGGGATAGATTAGCGCATAGTATAATGAGATTAGAGCAGAGTTTGGAACATAATATCTAATTTTATAAAGTATACCGACCGTTTTTTATATATTTTTTGGTTATACGTTGTAAGTGGGTGCTGAAGTTGAGTCTCTTGTCAATGTATAGGCCAAGGAACTTTGCATCATTTTTATTGCTAATGTTAACATTGTCTATCTGAAGCTGAACTGCAGTTGTTGATTTGTTTCCAATTAATATGAAGTAAGTCTTTTCTATGTTTAGTGGTTGACATCCATGAGTTTACTTTTTTAATTCGTTATTTACAACATTATTTAGTGTGTGTGGGTTGGGATTTGAGTAGATGAAGGTAGTATCGTCAGCAAATAGTATTTAGTATATAGTATAGGTTTAAAAATATTCGAGACATTAGGTGATCATTATTGTATATAAGAAATAGGATAGGTCCTAGGATGCTGCCCTTTGGCACTCCTGTCGTTAATGGTAGAGTGTGGGAGGTTATATCATTGATGGCTACATATTGATGTCTGTCACTAAGATAGGATCGAATATAGTTCAGGGCAATGCCTCGAATTCCATAATGGTGAAGTTTAAGTAAGATGTAGTTATGGTTAGCAGTATCAAAAGCTTTTCTTAGATCAATTAAGAGTCCAATTGGGAACTCATTTTTGTCAAGGGCTGTGTAAATTATATCAAGCAGACTAATAATTGCATCGTTGATACTCTTTTGAGATCGAAGCCAAACTGACAGGGACTTAGTATGTTGAATTTTACAAGGTAGGAGTAGAGCTAGTTATAAATATTTGTTCAAATATTTTTTATTATAAGGGTAGATTTGATATTAGTCTGTAACTGCTTATGTCTGTCGTATCGGCTTCTTTATGAACTGGCGTTACTCATGCTTTTTTAAGGATATCCAGGAAAGTATGACACTCTAGAGATTTGTTGAATAGCAGAGCTATGGGTGGCGTAAGGACATGGGAGGCACTTTTGTATACCATAGATGGTATTTCATTAATTTTCTCAGCTTTCGTTTTTAGTGAGTGAATGATGGACATAACATCTGTCGGGCTGACTGGTGAAAGGAGAAAAGAGTTTGGATAGCTGCCTGCAAGATATGTAGTAACATGTGTTTGGGTCTGTGGGATTTTTCTGACAAAGTTAGCACCAACTGACGAAAAGAAGCTATTAAATTCAGTAGCCGTTTCTAAATCTGTTGCAAGTGTATAACCATCCTTGGAGAGTTTAATCTGCTTTTTGTTAAGATCCTAGGATATTACAGATGGTTTTCCATGTTTCCTTTTCCTTTTTTGAATCTACTCTCATAATAGGAAAGTTTCGCTCTTTCGATTATACTGGTAAACATTGATGAGTACGGAGGATGTTATTAAACAAAATAGTGAAACTCAAGCCAAACAAATCCCCAGAGCCGGACGAAGTATTTGCCAGGGTGCTAAAAGAATACAAAGAGAAGCTTTGTGAGCCATTGTCTACCATATTTAATAAATTATTGGAGTCAGGTAGAGTGCCTGAGTCGTTGACGGTTGCTAATGTGGTATCAGTTTTCAAGAAAGGAGATAGATCACTTGCGTCAAACTTATCGGCCAATTAGCTTAACGTCTATTGTGGGAAAATTGCTTGAATCGATAACTGCAAATACCTTTCGTCTTCATCTTAAAAATACATAGATTAATATAAGATTCACAACATGGTTTTACTAAATACTGTTCTTGTTTAACAAATTTGCTATCATTTTATTCCAGCATAGTTGAGGCAGTTGATAGTGGTAAGGATTGTGATGTTGTGCACCTTGACTTTAGCAAAGCTTTTGATACAGTGTCACATGAAAGACTGATTAAAAATATAGAGGCTTGCGGTATTGGGGGTGCTATATTAAGTTGGATTAGGGCATGGCTATACCAAAGTAAACAAAGAGTTAGTATAAATAGGGATAAGTCAGAGTGGGAAAATGTTGTAAGTGGAGTGCCTCAAGGCTCTGTCCTGGGACCCCTGTTATTCATATAAGTGATTTAGATTCAGGTTTGAGCAGCAATATTTACAAATTTGCCGATGATACAAAAATCGGGAGAGAAATAAACACGGAAAAAGACTATCACTTCAAGACGATCTAAATAGGGTTTTGAAATTATCAAAATATTGGCAGATGCAGTTTAATGCTGACAAATTTAAAGTTTTCAGGCTAGGTAATAATACAGTTACAAGATACGAGCTAGATGATGTTGAGATTGCGAAGTCGGATTGCGAAAGGGACCTTCTTCTTGAGGTTATCTTGAGATGATTTCGGGGCTTTTAGTGTCCCCGCGGCCCGGTCCTCGACCAGGCCTCCACCCCCAGGAAGCAGCCCGTGACAGCTGACTAACACCCAGGTACCTAATTTACTGCTAGGTAACAGGCCATTCTCTACAGAATACCTTTCGTGAGCTTTGGCGGTGGCGATTATTTGGGTGCTGCATTGTGTGTATGCGTACTACATAGTGCAAGTGAGTACCAAGTGGTACTCGAAGCGGTACTCCCAAGTGATCTGAATAGTATCAACATTGTAGTGGATTCAATGAATATGAGCCATCACAATTCATCCTTTTTTTCTTACTGGTGCTATATTCGCTGTGTCAAACTCACTTTACATGCTATTTTCCATCTTTGAGAGCTGATGTATCTTAAAACTATCTCAAAAGAAAGTAGTCATTTGAAATCAGATCTCAAAGAAATTAAATACTGTGTCTTGTACAGTACTCTGTACATTTCATTTTTTAATTTTCATCATGCCTAATTATTTGGAATTTATCGCACTTAACATCTCGTATTTTTCTATAACCCAATCAAAGACTTTACTGATATCGGCTGGTAGTATTCTGTGTCTTCTACTGAAGTAACTGTCATACTGATTTCTGTGACGTCCGCATAGAATGATACTAAGCTGTATACTATATTTTTGTCTATACTTTTGCCCTGGGGTAGAGTGGTGCCAGGACTGTGCCCTGGGGTAGAGTGGTGCTAGGATTGTGCCCTGGGGTACAGTGGTGCCAGGACTGTGCCCTGGGGTACAGTGGTGCTAGGACTGTGCCCTGGGGTACAGTGGTGATAGGACTGTGCCCTGGGGTACAGTGGTGCCAGGACTGTGCCCTGGGGTAGAGTGGTGCCAGGACTGTGCCCTGGGGTAAAGTGGTACTAGGATTGTGCCCTGGGATACAGTGGTGCCAGGACTGTGCCCTGGGGTACAGTGGTGCCAGGACTGTGCCCTGGGGTACAGTGGTGCCAGGACTGTGCCCTGGGGTAGAGTGGTGCCAGGACTGTGCCCTGGGGTACAGTGGTGCTAGGATTGTGCCCTGGGTACAGTGGTGCTAGGACTGTGCCCTGGGGTACAGTGGTGCTAGGATTGTGCCCTGGGGTACAGTGGTGCTAGGATTGTGCCCTGGGTACAGTGGTGCTAGGACTGTGCCCTGGGGTACAGTGGTGCTAGGATTGTGCCCTGGGGTACAGTGGTGCTAGGATTGTGCCCTGGGTACAGTAGTGCTAGGACTGTGCCCTGGGGTACAGTGGTGCCAGGACTGTGCCCTGGGGTAGAGTGGTGCCAGGACTGTGCCCTGGGGTACAGTGGTGCTAGGACTGTGGCCTGGGGTACAGTGGTGCTAGGATTGTGCCCTGGGTACAGCTTGGAGTTATGATTAGTAAGACTTTAAAATAAAAAAAAATAAAAAATAAATGTTCGTAAGACAAATAGAACACTGGGGTTTATTAATCGAAACTTTAGTAACAAGACACCTGGTGTTGTTCTTCAGCTATATTTTGCTCTGGTTAGGCCCCATTTAGATTATGCAGTTAAGTATTGGTCGCCATACTATAGAATGGATATAAATTCACTAGAACGCGTTCAGCGTAGGATGACAAAAGTTAATCCCACAAATGAGAAACCTGTCATATGAAGAAAGATTGACAAAGCTTAAATTACATTAGCTAGTAAGGCAGAGAGTTAGGGGTGACATAATAGAGGTGTTCAAGTGGATGAATGGATACAACAAAGGGGATGTTGGATACAACAAAGGGGATTAACATCCTCTTAACAAAGGAGGATGTTAATTGGGTATTAAAAGTATCAACACAAGATATCACGAAACAATGGGTATAAATTGGATAAGTTTAGATTTAGGAAAGACCTGGGTAAATGCTGGTTCGGTATCAGGATTGTTGATTTGTGGAACCAATTACCGTTTAACGTGGCGGAGGTGGAGTCCCTTGGTTGTTTCATGCGTGGGTTGGACATGCATATGAGTGAGATTGGGCGGTTATAAATAGACAACTGCCTCGTACGGGCCAATAGGCCTTCTGCAGTCACCTTTATTCTTATGTTTATTTCATACTTATTTGTTTAATTTCCTCAAAATTCTTGAGTCTTCTTAGTTTCTTTGTTATATCGTTTGGTTTATATGACTCCATTTCTATTGTCTAGTCTCTTAATAACATACAATATATTTTAGTCTGACACTTTGCTAAATTATTTATCTTGTGTAGCATATCCCTTTTTTTCAAAGCGAATTTATCTATTCTATACACAAATCCTCGGAGAACACAAATCAGTAAAAGTATGTAAACCAACAAAAAAGGCAAACTAATCAATAAAAATAAATGTAAGCCAATAAAGGTTCTTAAATTCATATTCTTTATTTGTAAACATGTCAGAGATGAAAGTATGTTACCTTATCTGGTTCTTGTTGCTACCAGCACATGCCAGCGCTGAAGTATTACTAACCTAAATGATGATCTGTGCAGATGACGACACGAGGGTCTTGCTCTCAATCATTAATGATGATCCCTATTCTGACTACATCAATGCCAACCACGTCTCTGTAAGTCAAGTTTGGGATAAAAACTTTGTTTTTAATGAATATTCTTATTTAAGTGCTAAAGATTTATCTTCATGGTCACTATAACATTCTTACTTTAGTTAGTATTTATTAGTGAACTTTTATTCAAGTCCAAGTTCAATAATGTTCAATAATGCAGTGTATTTTATCAACAGTATATGCACAGTATCTGTAAAGTTGTAAAAACTCCTAAAGTGTCAAAAACACAACTGATGAAATAATAGGATTACAGTTAACATTTACAATTAAGAATACAATTATTGTTATAATATAAAACTAATGCATTAAAGATTATGTTGGCAGGGATATGGTGGTATGCGCTACATTGCTGCACAAGGTCCCAAGGATGTGAAAGTGCCTACTATTGTTGACTTTTGGAGGATGATCATAGAGCACAACATTAACGCCATCATTATGGTTGCCAACTTCGTTGAGGGGGGCAAGGTGAGATGTTAATTTGTAGCGTTAAGGATAGTAAAATATTTTTTTTGTCAAATAATCCAGTCTTTACAAAAGAATTATACATATTTTAGGCCTTAGTAATAAAATCTGTTCGTAGGTATTTAAGAACATAGTAAATATTGATTTGTTACAGGGTAAGGTTGGAGAGTACCTAAATCCAGGAGCCAACCTAGACTTTGATGGCTACCTTGTCTCCGTCCTCCATAGAGAACAGTTTCCACACTTCAATGTGTCATCGGTACAGGTCAGTCATAAGTGCTGTGAGCACAATGTACTTCAGTTTTCTATTTTATTGTGTTTTAATGTGCTAGAAGTTTCATCTGTTTCATTTGACTACACGATTTTGGGTTAGCAAAAAATTATTTTAATATATTAAAATGTAAAAGATTAAATATATTTTAATCAACTTCCCATTTCTAACTTTCTTTGCTTAGTGAGAGGCACTTGCCAAGTAAAAATGAAAAGCAAAATACGGTGGAACTTCGGTGTACGAATTTAATCCTTTCCAAGAGACTGATCGTACACCGAATATTCTTACATCGAAAAAAAATTCTTAAAATAAATAATGTAAATATAATTAATCCATTCCATACACCAAAAAATAATAACTTAAAAATACATTATATACAAAATACTATTCTATTTTTTTACTGGACCTTACCTTTATTGAGGACTCTTGTTAGCATATGGAAGACAGTGAGGTGAGGGGAGGTTTTAGTGTTTGGAAGGGTACCTACACCCATTCCATTATAACATTAGCAGTGATGACATTTCTGGGGTACTCTCTACCCTATGTTTTGTAGACATACGACTAAGACCTGGTTGTGGCTCACTGCTTATTTGTCTCACTGAGAATCTGTCTAAAGACACTTATTTTTCCCTACGTTTTAACACTTGTCTGTAGTGAGACATCATATTGTCATTAAAAAGGTTAACACAACGGCCTGCTACAGCTTTATCTGGGCGAGACTTTTCAGCAAAATTTTGCAGTTCTTCCCATACTGAACACATTTTTCCTAACCACATCAACCACACACATATGGTCTTCAAGTTTACGAATTATATTTTTTTTCCTCTATCGTCACTCTAACAACTATTTTCTTAGGTTGAACTTAACCGCTGACTTTCTTGGGACCCATGGCGTAATATATATTGTAATGAGAACTTTTCTGTTCAGAGATAAATAAAAAAAAACAAACAATGAAATTCTTCACAGAGAATTCAGTGCGGTCGTCACTTGGTGGGATACACTGGTAAACTGAGCATGGCCCAGCCTGCGCCCAGCAGAACCCACACACCTTACCCATACAAGTATCAACAAGCGAGTCGTACTTCGCAGTAAACTTCGTACACCGAGTCAAATTTTATGACAAAATCGTTCTCATACACCGAATAAATTGTACTAGGTATTTGTAGACCGAGGTTCCACTGACCAAGTAATATCTAGACAAAATTATGATTGACAAAATGACTTATGATTCTTTTGCTGTTAGTTGTGGTTTCTTTCTGATGACCAAAATTGACATTCTACATACTTTAGGAATAAAAAAAAAACCTGCCAGAACCCCCTCCAGGTATCACGAACGTGGAGATTAAATTAATGGTCACTGAGAAGTTGACAACATTTGATGTTAAGCCATGTCTTCCTATAATAATATTTTGAAATCATGTTACCTATTGGAAAATATGTCAAAAAACAAACCCAATCATAAAACTTGTTAGAACCTTCAAATACCTCTAAATTTGTATAATACAAGAATTAATTTCAAATTTGTCAAAATTTTCTAAAGGTTTCAAAAGGTGGGCAGATCCATAGTGTGCAGCACTACCATTACACTAGCTTGCCAGATCATGGTATCCCAGATGAAGCTGGCTCGATGGCTCAGATGCTCCGACACTATCAAAATAGACACAGTGAAGGTATGTTATATCCTGTATTATCTTCATGACTTGCTATTCCAAAGGAATGAAAACATTGGTCATAATTTGGGCGTTACAAATATGAATACAGTCTAGCCTCAACAAACCCCTTGGCGGAGGCCTTAGGAAAGAATTTTCTTGATTCAATGGACAAATTCAACAAACCTTGATTCAACGGAACAGGGTGTCCATTACACCAAGGCCCCTCAATGCACCACACCAACTCAGCGTTCAGAACAGTGAGCAGCATTAGATCTGATTTTTACAAACGTTTTACTAATTACTATTCTTGTAATTTTAGTATTACTGTAAATTGGTGTGTGTGAATGTGTGTGTGTGTGAGCTGTTCAATAGTGTTGATATTGGATGTGTCCTGTCCATGGCACTGGCATTGTTTCTGACTTAAAAGCAATGAAGATTTTGAGAGTACAGTACAGTATACTGTATTGCTATAAGAAAAAAATTGTCTTCAAAGATTCTGAGAACAAATATTGCCAGAGGATAATGTTGCGACAAAGATTGTGAGAAAGAAATCTGTTATACTGAGTAATTATTCATACTCCTTTTATACTAGTATTTCTAAAAAAAAAAAAAGTAGTTTCCTTCTTGACATATTGATTTAGCAAATTTCTTTCTGCTATTTCTAACGTCTTAATTGCTATCACTCTCATTTTGTTTCCTTTTGGGATCCATTGTTTCCCAGTTAATTTGGCTGTTTTTCAAGTCTACCATTACTTGCAACTGCACTCTGAATATACGTATAGGATTTTCTGCCATATATATTTTCTGCGAGATCTGTTCACATTCTTGCTTTCTTACCTGTTTCTTCTGTGGTTCCCCTGGGAGATGTAAATCATGGTTATCATCACTTTCTCTTCTTCCGCTGAAATAATTCCTGTGATAGTTTGCCTAGTTATTTTCTTTCTCGATATTAATCTCTTAAATCTTATTTCATTTGATCAGCAGAGTTATTAATAAATTGGCTTCTGTTCCCAAAAGAGTACCAATTATGCCATTATTAGTCTGCTTGATATAATCTACACAGCCCTTGACAAAAATGAGTTCCTAATTGGCCCTCTTCATTGACCTGAGAAAGACCTTTTCTACTGTAAACCATAACTACCTCTTACTTAAACTTCACCACTATGGTATTCGAGGCCTTGCTCTGGACTATATTCGTTCCCATCTCAGTGACAGAGACCAATATGTAGTCATCAATAGCATATCCTCCCCACTTTATCATTGACAGTAGGGGTGCCACAGGGCAGTATCTTGAGCCTCTCCTATTTCTTATATACATCAACGATTTGCTAATTGTTTTTAACATTCTTAAACCTATACTATTTGCTGAAGATAGTATCTTATCTATTCTGACCCCAACCCCCACACACTAAATAATATTATCAACAGTGAATTAAAAAAAAAGTCCACTCGTGGATGTCAACCAACAAACTTACACTAAATATAAAAAAGACCAACATTTTACTTGGTAGTAAATCATCAAATCAGATTCATCTTCAGATAGACAATGTAAATATTACCAATTGAGGGGAATTTCCCCCTCAAAAATGGTGGAAAGTTCCTTGGCCTAAACATAGATAAGAAACTGAACTTCAGCACCCACATACAACACACAGACAAAAAAGTCTCAAAAACGGTCGGTATACTTTCTAAAATCAGATATTACCTTCCCCCAATCTGCTGTCCTCTCATTATATTATGCACTAATCTATCCTTATCGTACTATCTTACATACGGTATCTGTGCATTGGGTTCAACCACTGCAAATTATCTCAAGCCTTTCATCACTCAGCAAAAATTTGCTATCAGAACGATAACAAAACTCAGTCTTCAGACAACACACAGCCCCTCTATTTAAGTCCCTTAACATACTAAACATACGCTCACTCCACACACTCTCATGTGCTGTCTACATGTACAAAACCTTGTTCCGAAATGCTAATCTTGATCTGAAACTTTACCTTGATAGGTGTAATAGAACCCATAAGCACCGCGCCAGAAATAAATATCTCTGATACCCCTATTCAGACTAAATCTGTGCAAACACTCCATGCAAACAAAAGGGCCCAATCTTTCGAACTCTCTCCTTGATAAAAGAAAAAATTGGCCAACCCATGCCCTGTTCTAAAGTAAAATAAAAAAGTACCTAATTTCATCCTCATAGTTTCCTACCTTGTGCTTCAAACTCACACTGTATCTTGTACTACCCACTTCCCCAATATTAGTACTTAAGACGCATATCGTTACCATTGTAATCACCTCTCTCAATTTATATTGTAGTTATTTATTGATGTAAAAACCTTGCTACAATGTATCCTTTCATCTTACCCTGATATGTTAGATTAAAGACCTGCCCGAAACGCCATGCTTGTTAGTGACTTTGCATGAATGTAAATATACCAATCCTATGTAATCTCACCAACCCATTGTACCTTCTTGCAAATAAATTATTATTATTATTATTATTATTATTATTATTACAGTATTATTATTATTATTATTATTGTATAATAATAATAATAATAAATAATAATAATAATAATAATAGTGTGCAACTAACAATTTTAGTTAAAGTACTTCTCTCTCAACAGGTGGCACGGTTGTTCACTGTTCAGCTGGGATTGGCCTAACTGGTACAGTTCTCCAAGTTCTTCTCATGTTTGAAATGCTTGCTGTTGAAGGAAGCTTTGATCCTCTCGAAGTGCTCAAGCACCTTAGGAACTGTCGGGCACGACTAGTTGAGAACCAAGCACAATACAACCTTAGCCTGCAGATCCTTGATGAGATTCTCTTTGGTGAAAAAACCATTGTATCTGCAGAACATCTTCAGAATTCTCTAGACAGTTATCTGAGTAACTGCAAAGCTCAGTTAAGGAATATAAAAGCCTTACCATCCTCACTCACATATAAAAGTTCTTCTAATCCGAGCTTTGAGTTAATGAATCGTAACAATACAATATTGCCAGCAGACTCCCAACGAATATACTTACAAATGGAAAATGGAGAGCCAGAGTCACAGTATATTAATGCGGTGAAGGTTGCGGGTTTGATGCACACTGAAGCACTACTAGTCACAGAACACCCCATGCCTATCACACTCCCCAAATTCTGGAGAATGGTTGCAGAGAACGGCTGTTCTCTTGTAATACTCATCAATCAATTTGACGAGCAAAGCAAGGTAGAGATTTTGTTTACTTTTCCATAACCCCTCCTTGTCTGGCCCGTTGCTGCCATGAGGGGCTTGGTGGGCAGCTGCCGGAGTATGATGCTCCATGGGACAATCCTCTGTCCTTTTGTGGCCTTATGCTTCAGCTGCTGTCCTCTCGAATTCTGCCGGGCGACTTTTCCCTTTCCTTATGTTTCGTTTTTCTCCCCTTCTCTTCTCTTTTCTAATTGTCATTTCCCGCCGACCTTTTGCCTGTTTTGATTATTCTTTCGGCCTTCTTTTGTTTTGACACCCGGGTGTTTGAGGAGGGTTTGAGTTGCACCGAAGAATTGTGGTACCCGACGTCGTGGTAGAGGGGACGAGAGGATTTTTATTGTCAATCCTCCTTTCGTCACTGAACCTGATCTCGACGAAGGGGTGGCGTTTATGGAGCGTATACTCACGACGCACCCCTAGGGGGCCCCGGCAAGATTGGCAACATGTCTCATGTTGGGTGTCCTATTCTCTAATTGTGGTTCCGTGGTGGGTGTGGGGGGGCTCATTCGTGAACGAAAGTTTTTTCTCTCGTTTTTATGTCACTTTCTGTTCCTCCTGTACCTTCTCGGGCTCGTGGGGTGAGCGACCAAGCCCCAGAGTCGGACTGTGTTGGAAGACCGGACCCTGTAGCCCCCCCCTCCCCCCGCTGCTTTGGGCCCCAGATCTTTCTCCTCCTTTGACCCTCCTGACTACTCCCCTTCGGCTCCCTTCCCTCCTCTGTGGTTGGGTCGAGCAACAAACCTCCCAGCGGACCACCACGTCCCTTGGGCCGGCTCAGTCTTTCATTGTGACTACTGCACCTTTTAACCCCTCTCTCTCTGGGGGTTCTCAACGCCGTCCACGCCACGGCCGCATTCGCTCGATCCCTTCCTGTACTAATGATTACCAAGCCTTGTTTGGTCCCGCTTCGTGGGCCAAATACTTTGATCTCCTCCCTCTCGATTCTACATTTGACGATTTCACCCTCCATAGGCACCTTGTTGATTCAGTGATGCCTCTGTTACTTTCAGCCCCACCCGTCTCGGTACACATGTCGTTGCTGCTCCTTCTCAGGATGCAGCCACCTGCTTGGCCGCCTTATCCTGCCTTCTTGAGGTTATCTTGAGATGATTTCGGGGCTTTAGTGTCCCCGCGGCCCGGTCCTCGACCAGGCCTCCACCCCCAGGAAGCAGCCCGTGACAGCTGACTAACTCCCAGGTACCTATTTACTGCTAGGTAACAGGAGCATTCAGGGTGAAAGAAACTTTGCCCATTTGTTTCTGCCTCGTGCGGGAATCGAACCCGCGCCACAGAATTACGAGTCCTGCGCGCTATCCACCAGGCTACGAGGCCCCACCCAGCAAGCCTTGCCTTGGCAAGACTCCTGCTTGGGTCTCCCGGAACGTTCGGTTGAATGCCAGTGTTGGCACTGTTCTCCTCCCACCTCATGTTGCAACCAGTTTTGGGAATCTACAGGGCTACCACGAAGATATTTGGCATATCCTCGAAGCCCAGGGCCATTCTGTCCTCCAGGCAGACACGTTTACTCGTCCCCCTCGTGGTCGTCGCCTTCAGCCCTTCGGGTTGTGAAGATTACCTTTGATGGTAGGACCCTTCCGCCTTCTGTCATTCTTGATGATGCCAGATGCTCCGTCCAGGAGTGTATTCCCTCTCCTCGGCTCTGTAATAAGTGCTGGAGGTTTGGGCATGGTGCCCTCCGATGCTCCAGTACTGTCTCTCTCTGTCCCTTGTGTGGGGACGAAGGTCACTCTAAGTCGAAGTGCACTTCTCCCCGAGCTCGCTGCCTCAATTGCGGTGAGGCCCACCCTACCTTCTCCTGCACATGTGTACATTACAAGCTTGAGGCAGCCGTCCTCACCTTGCAGCACCGGGAACGTTTGTCTTTTCCAGAAGCGAGGCACCAAGTTCGCCGTCTCCCCCCTTTTGCTGGTGTCTCTTATGTTCACGCGTTGTGCTCTTCCTCTCCTCGTCTTTCCCACCTTCCTCAGTCTCACAATCGTTTCCAGGCCTTGGACCCAGACACGCCCAACCGCCTCCTCCTCCTCTGTTCCTTTAAGTTCTGTCCCAAAGGGTCCCCCCCCTCATGGTTCTTTGTCTGGGGTTTCCCTTCTTTCTACCCAGTCTGTCTTGTCTCCTGTGTCTTTTTCCTCGTCTCCCTCCGATCCTCCTTCTCATCCTTCTCCTCCGTCTCTTAGCTCTCCACGCTGCCTATCTTTGCGGCCTGATGTCCATCACTCTCCCAGCGGCCATCGTGTTGTTTGCTCTCGTTCTTCTTCTGTTGAGACGCTTGAATCTGTTGCCCAGTACGTTGTTGCTGGGACGCCTGTCTTTTTGAGTCAGAAGCAAAAGCCTGGCTCATCTCCTTTCTCCTCCCTGGTGGGTAAGAAGGCTTCGTTTTCTTCCTCGCCCCCTACCTCTGACTCTCTCGCTCCATCCTCTCCCGTTTCGGTGGTTGCGCCTCCTGTTCCTGCTATGGAAGTTTCTTTGGCCCCCGCTTCCCTCTCGGTTGCTGCCCTTGCTGAGGTGCATTCCCTGGTTTCTGCCCCTCCAGCTGCTGTCCTTGACCCTCGGTTGTCCCCCCCCCCCTCCTCCTCCTCCTCCTCTTCCTCCGGACACTGCTCATCCGCCTCTGGTCGGTCCTCTTGTTCCCTTCCCTCCATCCTTACTCAGTTTACCCATGCCCCTAACCCTGACTTCACTGACCCTGATCCTGATCCTGCGCTTCTTTAATTCTTTAACATGCTGTGTTCCTTTTCACCTTTGTTTCTTCATTGTTCTCTGTTGCTGTCCTTTCTCTTCTTGTCAATATCTATTCTTCAATGGAATATTCGCGGATATTACCCCAATTTCCATGAACTCCAACTTCTAATTTCACAGCTTTTGCCCCAAGCCGATGCTTGGTGCTCGTCCTGGTCGCTTCCGTGGCTATTCCTTTCTCCCCCCCCCCCCTGGCTTTTGCTGGGGGCCCATACCTCCTCTGCTATCTTAATTCGTTCTGATGTTCCCTTTGTCCCCCCTACTTTTTCCGGCGCCTCTCCACTGCTCTGCTGCATGTGTCTTTGTGCGTAAATGGTACACTGTTTGTTCCGTTTACCTCCCCCCCCCCAAATGTCCCGCTTTCTCTTCCCGATCTTAAACACCTACTAGACTCCTTGCCGGAGCATGTGCTCCTGCTGGGTGATTTCAATTGTCGACATACCCTCTGGGGTGATGTTCTGACAAACACCCGGGGTCGCCTTCTCGAACCGTTTATCCTCTCCTCTTCCCTGTCTCTTTTGAATTCTGCTGAGCCCACTCATTTGGACACTCGTACTCGCACCCTTTCCTGTCTTGATCTTTCTCTCTGCTCTTCGTCTCTTTACTTGGATTTCATGTGGCGGGTTCTTGATGACCTTCATGGCAGTGACCATTTCCCCATCCTTGTTACCTTTTTCTCTTTTCACCCTCCCCTCTCCTTCCCTAGGTGGCAGTTTGCTAAGGCAGACTGGAACCTATTTACCCTCCGTGCTGCTCCTCTCTCTGACCTCTCCATTCTGCCTCTTCCTCGCGCCCTCCTCCTTTTTCATAACACCATTTTCAACGCTGCCCTCTGCTCTGTTCCTCGCTCTTCCTCTCGGGGACCACGGAAATGCGTTCCCTGGTGGAATGTGGACTGTGCTCGGGCTGTCCGCTGTAAGCGTGCAGCCTGGAGGAGACACCGCCGCCGGCAGACGGCTGATTCTTTTGTTTTGTTTCGGAAGGCAAGTGCGGTGGCCTGTAGGGCCATCCGTACAGCTAAGCGTGAGTGTTGGAAGTCTTATGTTTCCACCATTACATCTGAAACTCCTCTGCCGCAAATATGGAAGTGTGTCCGCAAGATAGTGGGTAAGTTTGTTCCCGATGTCTCGCCGGTCCTTTACCTCCATGGTACTCTTGTGGCGGACCCGTTGCAGGTCGCGACCGAACTGGGTTCCTGCTTTTCTTCTGTTAGCTCTGGTTCTCATCTTCCTCAATCTTTCGTTCTTTGTAAACCTGTCCTTGAATCTCGTCTTTTAGATTTATGCACTCATCTCAGACTTCCCTATAACGATTCCTTCTCTCTCTCTGAACTTCAGTCTGGCCTGCCCTCTGCGGTTCTACGGCGGCGGGCTCCGATGGCATTCATTATGAGATGCTTCTCCATCTCCCTCCGTGCACGTCTCAGTATTTACTAAGTTTGTATAATCGGGTCTGGGAGTCGTCGTCAGTCCCTGAGGACTGGCTCGATGCCGTTGTCCTCCCTGTTCAGAAACCAGGGTCTCTTGGGACATCCCCTAAGGTCTTCCGCCCTATTGCACTCACGAGTTGTCTGCAAACTCTTCGAACATATGGTTAACGTTCGTCTGATGTGGTTCTTGGAACACTATCATCACCTCTCCCCTTCTCAATTTGGTTTTCGCAAATGCTGCAACACAACAGATGTCCTGGTGAACTTGGAGGTCTATATTGATGACCAGACCACACACTAGAAGGTGAAGGGACGACGACGTTTCGGTCCGTTCTGGACCATTCTCAAATCGATTGTGACTTGACAATTGACTTCACCTTCTAGTGTGTGGTCTGGTCAACATACTTTAGCCACGTTATTGTGACTCGTCGCCTGCATTTGGAGGTCTATATTCGTATTGCTTTTGCTGCGAAGATCTCTGTTGTTGCCGTCCTTTTTGACCTGGAAAAGGCTTACGACACCACTTGGCGATATCATATTCTATCCCAACTTCGTTCTTTTGGCCTTCGTGGTAATCTCCCTCTCTTTCTCCGAAGCTTCCTCTCTCGTCGTTCCTTTCGAGTGAGGCTTGGTACCACTCTCTGCCGTTTTTCAGCAATACGAGGGTGTGCCCCAGGGTAGTGTTCTGAGCACTACTCTTTTTCTGGTTGCCCTCAATGGTCTTCTTTCCTGTATTCCTTCTGGTGTCTTCTCCGCTCTCTATGTCGACGATCTTACCCTTTGCTGTCAGGGTGATGATTTGCCTCTCCTTCAACGGCAGCTGCAACTTGCGATTGATGCCGTGTCGTCTTGGGCCACCAGTCATGGCTTCCGGTTCTCTACGTCTAAGACTTGTGCTATGACTTTTACTTGCAAGCATGTCGTTCTTCGTCCCTCTCTGTCGCTCTATGGTCATCCCCTTGAGTACAAGGATTCCGCTAAGCTTTTGGGGTTAATCTTTGACACTCGTTTGTCTTGGTCTCCCCATATCTCTTACCTCAGAGTTGAATGCTCTAAAGCCCTCTCCCTCCTTAAGGTTTTATCCCGTACTTCTTGTGGAGCGGATAGACGCACTCTCCTCGCTTTACATTCCTCTCTAGTTCTGTCTAAACTCGATTATGGTTGCCCTGCTTACTCGTCTGCTTCTCCTTCTAATCTACGCCGTCTTGATGCTTTGCACCATACTGGGTTGCGCCTCACTTCTGGTGCCTTTCGTTCGACTCCCGCCCTCAGATTGTATGCTGACATTGGCTTCTTATCTCTTCGGAACCACCGTGATCGCTACTGTCTTCGCTATCTTCAATGGCCCTTGCAACATTCTTCCTCTCGCCTCTGTCGTGCTTTGACTTTTACCCCCTCCTATAGTTCCTGTTCCTCTTCACCACCTCCCTCTTTCTGTCCGGTTATCTCGCCTACAGGATTCTTTTTCGGTTCGTATTTCTAATATTTCTCCTTGTTTTGTTCCTTTTTTGCCCCCGTGGCGAGTCCCCCCCTTCCAAAATTTTGTTCTTCCTTGATCCGCATCACTAAAGCTTTTACCCCCTTCGGTACTGAAATGCCTATTCCTTGAGCACTTTTCTTCACACTCCCGCTCCCTTTCCATCTTCACCGATGGGTCTAAGTCTGCTGACGGTGTAAGCTACTCTGTCGTTTTTCCTGACTGCACTTATATGTGTCGCCTAACTCTGGAGACTTGCATCTTCACAACAGAACTTTATGCTATTCTCTATGCTCTTCGTCTCCTGCTTTCTAGTTGTCAATCTTCCTTTGTGGTTGTCATTGACTCTCGTAATGCCCTCATGGCTCTCGGGTCCTTCAATCCGGTCCATCCAGTGGTCGTCGAGATTCAACATTGGCTGTTTCTTATTTCTAGTAAATTTAAGTCAGTTGAGTTTTGCTGGGTTCCCAGCCATATTGGTGTGTCTTTAAATGAGCGTGCGGACGCTGCTGTTAGGAAAGCTGTCCGCTCTTGTCCCATCTCCCGTAAAGGTATTCCTTATTCCGATTTTTACCCGGTTATTCATTCCTGCATCCTAACCCGTTGGCAGGAGTGTTGGCCTTCTGTTATTGGTAAAAAATTGCGTACTCTTAAGGGTAGGGTGTCCTCATAGCCTTCCTCCTACCACCGTAACCGGCGATGGAAAACGGCTCTGGCGAGGTTGCGTATTGGCCATACATGCTTAACTCACGGTCACTTAATAGAGCGTCACCCTGCTCCTTATTGTCTAAATTGTATTGTCCCTCTTACAGCCGTGCATATCCTTGTAGAATGTCCTGACTTCCAGGACGAGCGTGTATCTTGCTTTCCGACCATCCCTCGCAGTCGCTTGTCCCTCGATAGAATTCTTGGTGAATCGGATACTTTTGATATCGTTCGCCTTATGCGTTTCTTCTCATATTGGCATCCTTGTTGTATTTAGCGCCCTCTGATTATTCCACACATTCAATGGTGCTACATAGCCTTCCTTATGTGGGAGGCATGGTTTGGTGCCTTCTTTTGATAATTACTTACTTCAGACATTTAGGCACTGATGCCAGTCATTATGGCATCATTGTTATACCATTGAAGGTTTCTGAGAGTCACTGAAAACAGTCATTTCAGATATAATTATTTTTCTCCATAATGTCTGTTTATGGGCACAAATTTGTCAGAGCCTTATGTCAAATTTGTCAGACACCACAAATGTCAATCGTACTTTTACTAAATGTATAGCAACCAATCAAACCACAAACCTGCCAACACACCCACCTAGTAAAAACACCAATGTTGCCCAGATCCTGACCACCTACACTGTCCTCACATACAAATTGACTACACTCGTGACAATATGGTGGGACTTTTACTTTAATAAGCTTTTCTGTCATTATATTAGACCACCAGTTCCCAATCAGTGGGTCGTAACCCTTCCCCCAACTTTCAATGTTCAAAAAATAGAACATCATTGTTTTTCTTCTTAAATAAGGTGATTGTTTCTAAATTCATTCTTTGAAAACAAAAAATATATTATGTAAGGGTGGCAGGGGGTTTGAGGAGATTTGAGTACTGTATTAGAAAATAGGGCCATAAATCCAAAAAGGTTGCAAACAACTGCATAGCCTAATGGACAGTAAGTAATTATTTACAAGATGGAACAAAGTTGGGAAGAATATGAGGCTAGACTAATGAGTAGTTTTAAGGTAATGTTGAATGTCGTTTTGAACCTTCTAATGGTAAACAGCTTCTTGGTTCTTTGATAAGATTTTGGCCCTAGGCTGATTTATCAAGTCTTATTTTTCAGAACTTAGTCCATAATGTGGAAGTGTATCAGGTGCTCTCGTGGCAGTATGGTCAAGATGTGCCGCCTGTGCCAGACGTCTTGCTCAAATTGGCTGAATTATTACTACAGAACCCTAGTAGTACTCGCACTGGTCCACCTATTTTGTGCTGTGGGTTAGTATCTGTTGTGGAAATATGTAACAGTTCTCAAACTGAACTCTTATTCACTTTATGAATTTGTATCATGCTTTTGATGCTGTGTTTGGATGTGGCATACATTTATGTTAGATATTGTAGTGTGTTGTTTAAGTTTGTTCAGCATCACAAAATTTTTATATCTTTAAATTTAAAGATTACCTCTAAAATATCATTGGCGTAAGTAATAACTTTCTTTGCTGTACTGTGCTCTTTTACCGTCAGTTCTCAGTCGGTTCATATACTATTTAGAGAGAACATTCTGATGTACGTGACAACCGACACAATATTGTATGAGTAGAGCTTGCCATTCACATTAGAAATAAGACATTATAGAAAGTAAACTATATCTACTTGCCCTACACCCCTACAGTGATGCTTTACTGCCAAAAAATGCTAAAATGTCATAAGAGTTTCAAAGTTTAAAGCTTTGTTTTATGATTAAGTGTATAGACTCAAATGATGAACTACCAAACAGTAATATTAAAAAGTAATATGGATCAAATAGTTTGTATAACATTAACTAAAAAAAAATTGCTGATAGTACTAATTTCTTGTAGGTCTGTCATTGACTTTGCATCAGCCTAACAAAAACTTTACTAATAATCAGGCATTCCTTTTAAACAGAAACTAATAGTGATATTCATCTTTACTAATTACATGTATCACCAGGCACAGAATAGACCTTGAGCAAATTATGAAAACACCAAATACAGAACTGATTGCTTAGTTTATTCAATATTTCACTGTTGTGGGTTTTTCAAAAATAACAGGAAATGAGTAGACAATGTTTTGTATATTGGCAGCTTGTAGTGTGCTTATGGGACACAAAATGCCACAAGAACATAAGTTATTGTTAAGTCGGCTTGTTGCCAATCAACAAATGCAAATGGTTTTGGCAATACAGTACTCAGCAAAGAATACTTTTTTCTTATTAATATTTGTACAAATGACAATGCAAGCAGATTCTATTCATCTACAGTACCTCCAATGAACTATTACAAATAAATCAGCCTCATAACGTAGTTATGTACAATGGTATTATTGTACCTATGTAGCTCCAATCCAGTAACAAAAAGCCTCCAACAAGAATCGAAGTCTTGCCACTTTTTGCACCATGCATCATCTAACTTGGAAACTTAGGCCCACACATAGGCCACACTGGGTCCCACCCCATCCTTCCATGACAAGCTCTCATACAAGACTATTAATGTCGGAAATTTCCGACACCCTAATACTAACTCCCAGCACAGTAAGATAGAAGTATAGTTTAACCGCATGAAGCACATGTATGTCCCAGACCCCGAAGATTCCTACGAAGCAGTAAACACCACCAGCGACTACGAGATCCACGAACCACCACACAGAACAAGAAGAATCACTCTCCAACAAAAAGTGATCAGACACATCCATGACCAGGCCTTCCCAAGACTAAGTGGCCTGCCAGAGGACCCAGATGAGTGGCCCATCCCGGACCCGATCTACACCTAATGAAGAATAACGAAAAAATAATAATAAAATGAATAAAAAAATAAATAAATAAAACTACTAAACAAAATATATAGACAAAAAAAAACTTTTATGTGCTACTAGAAGTGTAACTACCCTGATGTTGCTAAGATTAATCTCCTTCGGCCAACTCCATCGGATCTAGGTCTTCCAGACACCAGCTAGGTCACAAACACTAGCCCCCCCCCCCCAGCCAATGTACTGACAACCCAACATAACACATACGCAAACAAACGACACACACATATGTCAACCCATGGTGGACAGACCACCGAACTTTCAAACCTCCTCTCTCTCTACACCCGCATCCTCTTCCTGAATTTCATCTCCCCCTCCATCTACCTCCTCCATCCTTTCCAAACCCTTTGGACATCAAAGCTCAAAGTATAGTTTAGGAAATCAAATTTACTAATACTATTAATTCCTAGTGTAAGAACGCCTAAAGTCTCCTACTATACGTGGCTGCTGTTGTGTCAGCCGCCCCCACCTCACAGGGAGACGAATTTTTATTTGAATTTAATTAAATCCAGTTTAAACTCTGCTTTATTTGCGTTGTAATTTAGATTGGAAATTGTATTAATTTAACTAGAACAAAATATGTCTTCATCCCAAGGTGGAAATTTCCATATCCGTGATCAGCTGATTCCCGGTTGGAATAAAAGTCACGTCACGTATACCACCTCTGTATATGTGCTTTAACCTATAATTTCTTCTATCCAGTGATATGAACAGTGGAAAACTGTCTGCTGGTATTTGAAGTGAATTATTAAGGCGTAAAACTACGCCGATACCGTCTTGTTTGAGAACAAGATAAAATTGAATGACGTGACTTATTTTCACGGTCTCACAGAGAGAGAGAAGAAGGGAGTGCCACTTGCTCACGGACGCTCACATCAACAACTCAAGCAGGTCCCTGTGGAAGCGAGCGAATTAGCATCGTGTTATTTTGGGAGCATTCGTCTACTTACGACTCCCAGACGTTTCTGCTAGCTTCATACATGAAGGGACATTGCGTTCAGTCGGTGCTTATTTCTTTGATAGGTTTTTATAGCCATATTTACCCTTTAGAATAATCGGTCATTACCGCAAGACAAACAAAATAACCCAAGTAAGTTTACGTCCTTTAGACAGTTAATCCCTTTCTTGGAGATTAACTGAAGATATATTGACACTACATAAGTTATAGTGTATATTTTCCACAGTACGGAGAGATACTACGAGGAGCAAGCCGCCTCAACTTGTGATTCACACGTGTCCGCAACGCTACCATGATGAGGCTAGGAATTTGACTGACTTCCGGGAGAATATCAGACGTACACCTGCTAACTTGCTCGAAGCTAAGCCCTATAAATTTAATCTATGATAATTGTAGTTAGTCTACTAACCTCATAACAAATTATTTACCCGTGAATATTTACTATTGAATATTTATTCTTGAATATTTAAATGCACGGTAGATTTAGCATTAGTAAGTCTACCTCCCAAGTTTGTGGAAGTGGTAACACTCGACAAGTATCTAAATATTAATACAGTCCACTCTTACAGTCCATTTAATTAATAACAATACTAAGAAATACTTGTTGGGAAATTCCCACGATTAATACAACACCTTGCTTCAGTTTGCGCAGAGACAACAAATGTGTACTACTTTACTCAAGCATGGAGGCCTTTTCTGGAGACTATCTCATTTTAAAAAATCCAACACAGATTATACACAAATAATCCCAAGAGTCTCTGAAGGCTAAGGAACTGATGACCCTTCAAACAAAGCATGAAAGCATAACAGGACACATTTTACCCAGACATTTTAAATACCGTATTGAGCAAGTTATAAAAAGCCAATCCATACCTTTTCAAGAGATATAATGTGGTGAGAGACAACAGCTAGAGCACTGCAAAACCAGACTACAGGACAGACAACAGGAAAATCTTCAACTCTTTTAATAATAATAATAATGATATGGAGCAATTTACCCATAAAAGCCATTGAAGTCAGGATATTCTTATTGTTTACAATACACCTGGAGAAAATCGAGAAGATTTTAGAGAGCCTTCACAAGCCACGGGAATCCTGTTCCAGTTACAGACACAAGGAACTGGCCATCAGGTAAATTACAATTTGGTCCAAACGTAAAAATTACAGCTAGACATTTAGAAAATAGTTCATATTTACTTCTTTGGCAGTGACGGTGTGACAGGATGTGGACTGGTGGCTGCCATGACTTTGGTGGTTGAACGACTGCAGAATGAACAGCGCGTGGATGTCTACAGAACAGTTGTGAAACTATTGAGGAGTAGGCCTCAATTTATCACTTCTGAGGTAATTAACCCTCACACCATTATCTTGAATATACATGACATAAAATACTTGTACACATATGTTCAAATTCACATCAGGGTACAGTGCAATTTCAATTTGGCAAACTATATGCAACAAACCCAGATTTGTTGCAACTGGAGATACCTTCATGAGGCATTTGTATGATGCAATTATGCTATGGAACATACCTGGGTCTTTCTCATAATACAGTGAAATTTCATTCATTTACAAAAAAAAGTATTAGTAATAGTAGGTGTGCTACCATTCATAGCCTAATATTTCCCATGCTCTATGGGCTAATTTCACTAAGCAAAATTTTTATTTCAACCTATCATACGATGGACATCTACTAGGAGATCTAGTAGATGTCATCTACTTAAAGAGACTTCAACCTCATTGCAAGTATTTTTCAGGATCCAATCCCTTGAATCTTATTTCGTAAATATGGTGTAAATGAGCTAAGTTCATCAACTTTCCCAGAGGTCTATTAACTCTGGACCTGTATACTAAGAAAACTTGCACTTCCCTTACTTTGCTGAACAGTGAACAGAACAGAACAGAACAGTTCAGTGAAGTAGGCGAATAGGCCTGGGACTTGTTATCACTGGAGATTCGCCATATTAAGGATGCACTGTAACACACACATATACCAATTCTCCTCCTGAGCTTCCTCCTAATTTATGACCACTTATTTTCTGTACAAGTTACATGTCTATAGCACAAGCACCTCTTCATAATGCCACCTTTCATATGTGGCTATTAGCCAGGGATTTTAGTCAGAAATTGCTGACCTTCTCACCACTGTCATTACTAACCACTTGGAAGAGCGTGTAGCTAGGTCCCAAGAAGCAGATTTTTAATAATAGTATAATTCTTCATTGGATACAAACTATATTTAATGCAGTTGGTTGATTGTATTTCTCGAGTATCTACTTGAGAAAACACGCTCTGTATGTGAAATAAGTTGATGCATGAATGATTATAGATGGAAATTAAATTCTTAAAAATGCACAGCCAGTTCAAGGCTGGTATAAGCTGAGTGACTTGTGTTGCAGTTGTCATCTTTCGGTTGTCAACAAAGCTAGGTCATGTGGGAAACCTTGAGAACATTAGTATTATTTATAACAGTAAAGCCAAGCCCATTTTCTCATCTCTGATCTACCGTAATTACGATGTATGAGATAGCATATATTAAGTATGAACAGTGCACGATAATTGGTTTGGAATGTGGCCGGTTGGAAACACTTTGTCAGCAATAAATATCTGGCCTACCTCCAAATAACATCTCGCAAGAAGCAATTTAAGCCTGGCTTGCAAAAAACAGTGGAATGCTGATGTGAATGTTTTGCTGAATGTGTGATGCTGCAAAATGTTGTGTGAAAGATATGGTACATAGGTGTGTCTTTTAATCTCCTTTTCCAATATACTCTCCTATTTCTTTCATGTTGATACTTCCCAACCCCATGAAAGTGAGAATTAAGATAATGATGATATTGATAACTGTGAAACATTAACTTTTTCAGGCCCAGTTTGCACTCCTGTACAGTGGAGCCGTCACATATATCGAGAATTACTCCACCTATAGAAACTTATTTTAAAAACAAAATTAATTATGCAAGTTAAGTTTTACCAAGAGGAGACAAAACTGTCACATCACTGGATAATATCAAGTAATTAATAGATATAAAGATTAATGAGAAAACTGTACAAAGTTTAACAAGCCAAGTGGTACACAAAGAACACATGCAGGCAGACAGTAATTTAGATGATGGTTGGGTATGTGTACCGACCAACCCGTTCTCGCACTTTCGTATAGTCAATATTGACTTATTAAATACGTGCATATGTGAAATACTAAACATACTAGTTTGCCTTGAAAAGCTTCATAGAAAACACCGACCTTACCTAACCTTCTTAGTATGTTAAGATAAGCATTTTATTGCTTCGTAATTACAATTATTACTTAACCTATTATAGGTATGATTGTTTCCATAACAATCATGTTATGCTCACTTGTCTAATCTGGCAAAGACAACCATGAGTTACTCTCACACACCTGCCATCACATCGCCCACACACTCCTACCAACCACTTCCCTCCCATGCTCACACCATCCTCCATTTACTGTATTTTTTCTCACAATCTGTATCACCTAAACTCACATTATTGTTGTTGTTTGATTCAGCTACTCTGAACACACTATGGGCTCACCGTAGCCCGTGCTACTTGGGACTTTTTTTCCAGGTAGCGAATCTTAACAACAACAATACTCTGAACAAAAGTTCCAAGTAGCGCAGGCTGTGGTGAAACCGTAAAGGACTTTATACCCTAAACTCACTCCAACCCCCAAACACATATTGAGTGCCCATGGCTAGCTACCAGTACTATTCCTCCCATACACACAGCACAACACTCACACATAATCAGTGTGATCATGCGAGCTCTGAGTGAATTACTGACTTTGTCTCTGTAGTCCATCTGTAACCACACCTCATGTTTGGTTATATCAAAATTTTTTGATATAATATAACTAGAGTAAACCTATTTGTTATACCACATAAAAGTAGTAGTCCTAAAGCTAATCACCAATTCTAAATTTTTAATGTACTCTGATAATAACAAATTATATGTACAAAATGTACAAAATTGTCATACCAAGGAACATAACCCTATTTTTCACTTGTTATTCAGCTTATATAAAGAATTTTTAGATACATTATTTTTCCTAACTGCCATGTTGTAAAAAGTGACCTGTACACTATTATGCTTAATGACAAATTGAGTTTAAAGCAACCAGAATGTATTTTCACCATACGTCTTGGAATGTATAGATTTACTTTGTTTTTTGTTAGGTTATAAGTTAATGTTATCTTTCCTACTTAGGTGAATGAAAATATTTAAATACTGTATATTCCTTACTATACTAGTGCGTGTTGTAATGATTATAATGTCTGCTTTTCAAACAATTGTTACTAATTTTCTTGATTTTTTTTATTCCAGCCGTAGAAGGTTTGGTTTCTTATAGAGATTGTCTGCCTTGAACATCTCATATTGGTTTCTTCTAATATATATATCCATTAGCTCATAATCTGTAAAATTGTCCAACAAAACTGCTCATTTCCCACTTTTACTGAGCTTTAATACCCTCTGAAAAGTGGAAGTGGTAATGGGTAAACCTGAAGCTCTCAATATCCCGCCATACATTAGTGACATATTAAGCTGTTTGTGTAATTTTTCTTAGTAAATTATAGTAATTTATTTACATGCTGTATTATATATGTGTTTAATTTTAAACCAACACTATGTATCAGTTACCTACTGTACTTTTCATAATTATTGAAATGAAAATATTTTAAGTAATATTGACATTTTTATTACCTACTAGCTGTACCCAGCAATGCGTTGCTGTGGCTCAGCAACACATGTGCGTTGCTGAGCCACAGCAACCTTCCCCTGTCTCCCAGTCCTCCCCACCATTCCCCCCTACCCCGTCCCCTCGTTCTCCCAACCATTCCTCACTCCCTCGTCCCCTTTTCCTCCCCCATCATCCCCTACTCTAGCATCCCCTCGTCCTCCTAACCATTCCCCACTCCACCGTCCCCTCGTCCTCCACAGTATCTCCCACTCCCCTGTCCTCTCTACCATTCCCCCCCTCCCACTGTCACCCACTCCCCTGTCCCCTTGTCCTCCCCACCATTCTCCATTACCCTGTCCCCTCGTCCCACCATCCCTAACTCCCCTGTCCCCTCGTCCTCCCGCATCATTACCCCCTCCCGTCCCCTCGTCCTCCCCACAATCCTCCACTCACGTCCTCTCGTCCTTCCCACCATTTCCCGCTCTTTCGTCTGATGATCAATTGATCTGATGTTCCCATCAGAAAATTGGGAACATTAAATGATCTGGGGCTAGATTCACAAAGAAGTTATGCAAACACTTACGAATCTGTACATCTTTTCTCAATCTTTGGCAGCTTTGTTTACAATTATTAAACAGTTAAGGAGCTTCGAAGCACCAGGAGGATGTTTATAACAACAACAGTTGATTGGCAAGTTTCATTCTTGCAAACTGTTTAATAAATGTAACCAAAGCCGTCAAAGATTGAGGAAAGATGTACACGTTCGTAACTACTTGTGTAACTGCTTTGTGAATCTGGCTCCAGATGTTCCCATCACTGAAATATAAGAAAACCAGTTTAAAAAGCAATGAAAAAATAACAAAATAAACTATACTTACGAAATGAACGCTATGGTAAACAACGCAGCTCAATTCCAATGCAATGTCACACCAAATAATTAAATCAAAAAGAAAATAAATCGAAATCAATGAAAATTCTATTTTTCAATTAAATTGGAAACATTGAAATGGAATCATAACATATTTAGTATAGCGTGTGTTGGTCTTAAGTGCAACAGATGGCGCTGTTTAAAAAAAAAGACATTTTTTACCTGTCACAGGTGCGGCACCTATATAGTAGGTATATAAAAACACGCATGTATTCGAATGTAACGTTGTATCAAAATTTAAAAGCAATTGGTGAAGAAATTTCGGATATTACAGTGTGTGTTGCTCCTACATCCAACAGATGGTGCAGTTTTTCATAAAAAGTATTTTTCTTCCTGTCACAGGTGAGGCATGTATATAGTAGGCATATAAAATCACACGCCTATTCAAATGCAACGTTGTGTCAAAATTTCAAAGCCATCGGTAAAGAGGTTTCGAAGATTTCCCTCACATGAAAAACACAGTTTTTTAAAAAAATCTTATTTTTTTCATGTCACCGACATGACATCTTTATAGTATGCATATAAAAACCCGCTAGGATGCGAATGGAAAGTTGTGTGAAAATTTCAAAGCAATCAGTGAAGAACTTTCGGAGATTAGCGATTATGAACAAACAAACATTTCCATGACGTTTGCGAGGCACTACACATCAAGAAGTCAACACCAGCAATCAACAGCCAATTATTGCACAACTATATTCTACCCACCTCAAGACTCCGCTCCAATATAGAAGCATCAAGAAATATGGACCAATAGGCTTTCTACAAACACTTCTATTCAATATCCATTGTTTCGTGTTCTGTCTTGTGTTGATGAAATTAATACCCTATTAATACTCTTGTTCTGTCTTGTGTTGATGAAATTAATACCCTATTAATACCACATCTTGTTCTGTCTTGTGTTAATGCCACATCACCCCTTCCACCTCACTCAAATGTAGATATAAAATCGGAGATGCGTAAGTTCTATTCAGTTGTGTATTTGTGAACTAAAGTCTTTGAAAATGTAATAAGTTTTACGAAACGCGCTCGTGTCGCGTCAGACTAGAAATAAAAATGAATTTTGGAGAATTGATTTTTGATT